TGGTTTTAAATTTTGTGTAAGAAACGTGTATAAGAGTTCTGTGTAAGTAGTACCTTGGCATCCATTCAGGAGATAAGGATTTCCGGTGAACCCTGGGTTACACGAGCAACGATATCCACCACCGGTGCTGGAGTTAGAGCAGTAAGCATTGTAACCGCAGCTATACCCAGACGGACCTTCTCTTGCTTGGCAGTCCTGGTCTCCGACCGCCCATTCAAGCACCGCAGGCGTACTCGTTATTGTTTCATTTGGGAGACCAAGGAAATTAATTTTTGAGATGTCGAAGAAATTTGCTACCACATAAGCATAACTGCAGGGGTTGAAATACAAAACATTACTGTGATTAGATGAGCTATTAGCCCTAATTTTCAATGTATTGAGGTTCTTGGGGATGGAAGTCTGGCAACATCCGAAACCGGAGCAATCACTTTCTATATCGTCCGGCTCATTGCAGAAGGAGAGGCAACCACTTCCAAACCTTCCCTGATTGTCGCTCATTAAGGCCACGGTGTCGCAGCCTAAACCAATCAACTTGTTCTGAGTGTGGGAAATGGTGAAGGGCCAGATGTTGATGCTGATATTCCACGACCACCAGTAAGATTCGTTGTTGCATTGGTAGGCGGCCGGAAGGCCTCCGGTGATGGTGCCGTTTTCAATTGATATGTCGTAAATTGGGATGTTCCAAAGGAAGAGGCTGCTCTGGTTGCACTGAAGCAGGAAGGTGCTGTTTTTGGCGCATTCAGGACGGTCAAGTCCAAAAGGGTAAGGAACACTAATGTTCCCACATGTTTGCGGGCAGTTTTCTAAAGAAATATTTGAAATTGCTGTGACGGAAGAAGATGGCAATATGACCATCATCACCACCACCCACAACACCATATATCTCATCTGCATATATAATTTTGTATTTTTTGCTTTAAAAAAATAAGCATAGACAGAGCTGTATGTATATATGATGCTATTATATAAAGGCAGAAAGTGAGGTGGGCCAATAACCTTTCATATTATCGAATTGTTTTATGGTAGACCACAGGCCTTTGTCGTCAACTTGAGTTATTCATTGGCCAGTGATAATTAAGTTGTTTAACAATAATTGTGTTGGCATGGGTTGGTAAAGTCATGTTTTCATACTTAATTATGGTTTTTTTTGTTTGGGAAAACATCCATTTGTATATATATTTTATATAAATATAATACATAAAATTCATATATATGAATATATTTTAATTCATTTTCCTTAATTAGAACAGTGAGCCTAGTAGACTAAGACTTGGTCGTCAACGCCTGCTACCTTCATATGTATAAGCGATCCTATATTATATATATGCAGAAAGTAAGGC